GCCTTCTAAGAAGCAGGCTCCTTCTGAGCAGCCTTCCCGCCTCGCCTTACCCCCTTGTGCGCGCCGCCACCCCCCGACGAGCAGTGGTGTGCCCTTTCGCCGCGCACCAGGCGCTGTGGCCTCTTCGACGAGGAGCCCCCGGCCCTTCAGCCAAAGGAGGGAAATGCGCCGATGCCGCTACCCTTCCCTAGTTTTCGCCTTTGTGGGCCTCTTGCGAGGCCTCCGTCGCCACCTCCGGATTCGCCTCGAAATTTTGGTCAGAACGCACCCCGTGAGAGCTCCTCCGAGTAGTGGTATCGGTGCCTTCTGGTTGACTACACGTAAGAGTGACCCTTCGCCGGAGTGACCTTTGGTGCGGGCCCATTGGCCCCCCCGATCGCCGAACGCGATGCGATAGCAGCGGCCTGGGCGTTTGGGCTTGACCCCTCGCGACCCCCACGCCGCGCACCGGAGGTCACTCTTGCCCAGAGTCACTCTTGCGTGCAGCCGATCTGGCTTCCCCATCCCGGCCTCCCCAGTGGCTGGCCCCAGCCTCGACCGTGCCCCCCCTGCCCGCCCCCGAGCGGGGCGACGGTGCCACAGGTACGCCGCCGCCGGCGGGCCAGCACTCCGCTCCGGCGGCTCGTGCGCGGCCCTGCCCGCCCCCTCCCCGCGCGCGCAGGCGGCTCACGCTGCCTCCCGCCCCTGCCTCGATCACTCGGGCCGCGTCGATGGTTCCGCCACGGCTCCGACGGACGCCCGGCGCGCGGATACCGCCGCTCCACAGCACCTGGTGGCAGCTGCCGGAGAACAGGCTCCGACCGACTCACCGCTCACCAAACCACCCCAACCCAAACCCAACTCGAAGGCCTCGATTTGCCCTCCATTTCTAGTGTGGGGGGGTCGGGGAACACTGAAAAAACACATGGAACCCGTACCCCTCCCAACCCGAAATTTGGGTCAAATTCGGGTCTTCGGCTTGGGTTGGGGTGGTCTGGTAGGTAGTCACCGACGGCTTCCGGGTTGTTCTCGATGCCAGCCGTGCTCCGCTGGGGACGCGTGCCCTCATCTTGCGAGGGACTTAACATTCGCAGCAGGCAGGGCTAAGCCATCTTTTACTCCGTGCGGACAAGGTTGCGAGCCACCCGACGCTGGCATCGGGGCCCACCGCGTCAACGTCACCGTGGAGGCCCTCAACAAGGCGCGCCGTCGAGCTGGCTCTCTCCGCCGTCCACCTCCAGGGCCTTCCCGCGCCCCTCGTGCTCGCCGCCAAGCAGAGATCCTGGCACGCCGATCTGATCCACCACGTTGCCGTGTGCCTGCCAATGCGCAGTGCGTGCGTGTGTGTGTGTGTGTGTGTGTGTGTGTGTGTGTGTGTGTGCGCAACAATCTCCACAGGGACCCAGCGACCGTTTCGTTATCAGTTCTCATTCTCTCGCCCGTTCTCGTTTCCTCCTCCTCCGCCTCCTCCTCTCCTTCATTGGTGGCTGTGAGTTTCCAGCCTGCGGGTGCCGGCTCAGGGACGCAGCCGATCGGACTGATCAGAGGGCAGCAATCGTGTACGTGATGGTCTTGCGGAACACAAAAACATGACCGTGTGCCTGCGCGATCTCCGCCATCGCGGGCGCCCGTCCCCGACGTCCAAGAGGACTGCGACCACATCGGTCTGAGTTCCGACATGCATGCGCCCGATCTCGAGGGCGACCCATGGCAGCACTCCATGGGGGCCCGCGATTGTGCCCTCGCCGCTGATCTTCTTTGCCCCGCGCGCTCGCCCACCGCCTCACCCCTGCCCGGGTTGCGAGGCCATCCCTAACACCCAGGAGCTGAGTCGGGATCTTCGGATTAACACAGTCGGTCCCTTCTGCCTGGGTGTTCTCATTTTACCTCTCTCTTCCTGCTTGCAGTGGAGCACGCCTCGCTCCTATGCAGGCCCTGCGTCCTGGCTAAGCCGTGGTCTGCAGGATCCTAAGGGGTTGAAGGGATAGAAAATCAAGTTCTTCGAGCCCGTTCGTGCCTCGCCGCACTTTCCCCCTCTGGGGGCAGGCTGTGGCGCAGTGCCCCCCTGCGGTGCCCGAGGCAAGTTCACGCAACGGCTCCTCAGCTCGAGCGCTGCCAGTGAGCCGTTGTCAGGGCTCGTTTTGATTCCTCCGATTCGATTCGATTCGATGTCGATGGCTTCCGATTCCGATTCGATTCGGCTTGGGCTTCCGATTTTGATGCCGATCTCTTAGTGAAGGCCTACAGGCCTGACGATATCCGCCGATTTGACTTTTCCCGACTCAGCTGCCGATTTCCGCCGATAGCCCAGGGGGGACATGCATTGTGGTTTTTGCTCCACGCCGCAAGGATCCCAATGTTCACATCCACATGACATATTTCCACGAAAGTCGTCCGTACGTGGTCATATATAGTTGTAACGTCGTCCCGTTTGCAGATAACGTATATGTCGTCAAGGCAAGCAATCATTTCCGCATCTTGTGGTAAGTCATCGCGAACCCGTTGTAGTACAGGTTTGAGGGCAAGGCAGAATAGGGCAGGCATTAGCGCATCTCCTGCGTTGTCGGGCGCGTCAGTGGCGCTGCCCGCGCGGACTGTCGCAGTCAGCCACGCGGGGCAGAGTGCTGCCTGCACCGCGCAGCACAGGCGCGCTGCCTGGAGGTCTGCTTGGGACACCCCCTTCTCCACTCTCACTTGGGAGTACGGCCCGAGCGACGTTGTAATTTAGGCACGTGCGCCCACACGCGTGCAAAAGTGTCGCCATCATTCCGACCGCTTCGTCTTCGTCTTCGCCTTCGTCTTCCTTATCCTCCTGCTCTTCCTCTCGATCTTTCCTCGTGCTCGCCGTTGCACTCTTCCTCCTGTTTCTCCTCCTGCTCCTCATCCCTCTCCTCGCCCTCGCTCCCGCAGGAGGACGTCGAGGTCCACGGCGGTCAGCATCGAGTGGCTGCGACCCAGCAGCGCCTCGGAGAGGCGGGAGTCGCTTCGGCTGCGCCGCGCCATGACGCTGGTCTGCGATGTGCTGGCCTTCCTGGACCCCTGCGGGCTGCCCGCCGCAGGCCTGCTCCAGTTACGGCAGACTCGCTCCGCGTCGACGTGCCAGCGCGGGCGTTCAAGGCTGAAGGTCATTGGCGGCCCTAGCCAGGCCGTTTGCTCAAGGCTGAACGGCGCACGTCCGCTGTCGGATACGCATTCAAGATCGATTGATCTGCGCGGTGTTAGAGGCCAAGGTCCACGTCGACGGCACGGGATCTAGCCGTACGCATCGTCCAGCCTGGCCAGGCTTTGCTCGGCCATGGGCTACTCCTGCCCTCTCCCGAGATTGCCCAGGGGGCCTCCTGGATCGTTGGGGGCGCCGTCGCCTGCTGCCCGAATGCCGTCCAGAGGTTCAAGCACAATGGTGCTCCCACATCATGATTTTTGCCAGTAGCCACAGGTCAATACGAGACCAGCGCGTGGACTTCAAGCAGAAACGGTGTATCGAATGAGGCCAGGGCCAAAAACACTCTGGAGCTGCCGCTGCTTTGAGCCGACGGCATCCGGGCGACCGCACGTGCCCGGAGCGTGCCCGCGGCCTTCGTGGTGCTTCTCTGTGGGGCATGGAGCAGGAGGGGAACGCGGGCAGCCTCAGGCATAACGAGACCCCCGCAGCACATGTCGCCGCACCGTTTGTTCCGACGCGCGGCCTTCCGTTTTGGGGAGGGCGCCGCGGCCACCAGGGCAGCCGCCGCCTCAGACCCAGGGCTTGCCGTGAGTTTGCCGTGGTGTCGGCGCCGTCCACTTGGGCGCGTCGGGAGCAAAAGTCGCAGCGACACGTGAGGCGTTCCTTCAGGGCCTCGCCTTCTGCGCGAGTCACCTTCAGCGGAAGCTGGCGGAAGCAACACGGCGGTGGCTCCGCCAGAAGCCCGCGGCAGATGGACAATCCGCTTCGCGTAAGAGTGACCCTTCGCCAGAGTGACTCTTGGTGCGGGCTCACCAGGGTACCTCCTTCATTGGCCTGCGCGCTTGGATTTGGCCTACCCGTGGCCCCCGAAAGCCGCGCACCAAAGGTCACTCTTGCCCAGGGTCGCTTTGGCGTGTAGCCGAGTACAAGCGAGACGTCAACACTTTCGGGTGCAGTCTTTCAGCAGCCGATTTGTGCTTGTAACACCGAGACCGCCTCCGAGCAGGTCAAGTTTTTGAGCGACAAGGTGTTGCGAGGTGAGCACCCCGCTGAGGCGGGTGTGATGGCCGGGGGTGCCGCGGAGTCCCATATTGAGTGAAGCCTCTGCTGTCCTCGGGCTGCCAGCGTGAGGTGGACGGTGACACAGTGCGAGATTCTTTGTCACCGCGCTGCTTGCCGATGAGTAGACATGGCCCACTACCGAGCCTTGTCTGTATGCGAGGTACTCGCGCGTCTGCCCCTCTTCCTTGCTCATGCATCCTCCTCCCCTCTTAGAGGGAAGGACGGGGGAGTCTTCCTCGCTCATGCATCCTCCTCCCCTCTTAGAGGGAAGGACGGGGGAGGAGCATGTCCCCTCTGCGACCAACTGCGAGCCCTGTCTCTAAGGGTCCACTCAGCACTGGGGCATCGGACACCCCCGCTGGGGTTCACCTGGCCGCGGACGTCCTTCAAGCTCTGATCCCCCGTCGGTATTCTTCAGAAATCTGACCTGCAGGGGGAAGGCCCACGGCCGCTTCCTCAGGCGATCGCAAGCATGGATCAATGGGGGCGTGGATTAGCGACGGCCCCCGTTTCCATGGGAAACCGCGTATCTCCGCCGCCGAGCGAGGCGGCACCGGCCGCATTTTGGGGAGGACACCTCCCCCGATCCATGGATCTTGCGACCGCGCGCCAAACCCATGCGCTCCCCCGCTTCTCCTCGTCCTCTGCACCGCCCGCTGCCAGAGAGAGTTGGCGCCGCCAGCGCAGCCCACCATGGCTTGAACCGCGCCCGCAAGACGGCCGCGGACGCCCTGGCCAAGGGTGCGCTTCATGAGCGCCGCCGCCAGGGTGCTAGCATGCCTCTCTCTTGTCGTCTATGCGTGCTGGCGCCAGTTCGGCGCTTCTCCTGCTGATCTCGAAGTAGAAAAAAACGCCCTAAGCATCAACTTTTGGCGCTCCGCGCGGCTTTCTTGGATCCGCGCTGGGGCCCCCCCGGCGGCGCCTCCGGCGCCGCCCCTGGCGCGCTCCGCGCGCCAGGGAGGGGGTTCAGCGCAGGTCCAAGAAATCCGCGCGGAGCGCCACAAGTTTTTGTTTTATAGCGTTTTTCCTTTTTCTGTTATCTGGACCCTTGCGACCACCAGCGCTGCCCGAGGGGCACCGTCGAGGCCTGCCAGAGTCCTGCGGAGTGCCCTGGGTGCTTCGAGTGCACGGCGACGGACACCAGCCTCGCGCTCCTGCCAGGGCCACGTCTTCGATGTTGTCCCGTCGCGGGTCGACTGCCTCCTGTCAGCTGGCCGCGGCGCCCTGCCTGCGGGCAGGCGCAGGGAGGCCGTTGCCCTGGGCGCCCTGGGCCCGGACCGCAGCGGCTGCGTCTTCGGCGCTGGCAGCGTCCTGCTTCTGCATGCGGACGTGGCCGCGGCATACGTGATCTGGCAGCCGAGGAAGAGAAAACTGCATGAACATAAGTTTTCGGAACTCCGCGCGGATTTCTTGGATCTGCGTCCTGGACCCCCTGGCGGCGCTTCCGGCGCCGCCCCTGGCGCGCTCCGCCTGCCAGGGAGGGGGTCCAGCGCGGATCCAAGAATCCCGCGCGGACCTCCAAGAATTGATGTTTACGCCGATTTTTGTTCTTCTAGGCAGGGCATCTGCCACCTTGACGCTGACCATGCTGTCGGGCGCTTCCAGAAGACTGCGCACCACGGGCCGGCAGGCCCTAGCCACACCACGCCAAGCAGGACGGCCACCACGACGAGGAGGACTTACAAGGCGTGGGACGTGGAGGTGGCGGCGGCGGCACTCCCCGCCGCTATGCCAGCCGAGGGGTCGCCCACTGTCGGTGCGGAGGCAGGTGATCCAGGAAGGGAATACGGCATGAACTTAAGCTTTCGACGGCCAGCGCGGATGTCTTGGACCTGCGCTGGACCCCCCTCCCTGGCGCGCGGGGGGCGGCGCCAGGGGCGGCGCCGGAGGCGCCAGGGAGGGGGGTCCAGCGCAGATCCAAGAAATCCGCGCGGGCCGTCGAAAGTTTGTGTTCAACGGTGCGTGCGTCGCCCCCGAGAAATCTTGTAGTATATGCGTCGTGGCGGGCGTTTTCTGGCCACACCCCTCGGGAAACGATGTACTACAATATGGGTATACTATATGCTCGGGTCGGACGCGCGCCTTCACGGGAGGACATATAGTACTGGTACGTCTCTGCGCGTCCCAGTGTATGCCCCTTCTTCTTCTTCTTCTTCTAGGTGAGGCGGCTTCCCCTGCTGCGGACCTGCTCGGGGCCGCGTGGCAACCGCACAGTGCCGCCGCCGCGCCCGAGGCGGCGCGGCGGGGCGAGGCGCGGGGCCGCGCCGCCGCTGGCTCGTCGGCCGTGCGGGGCCGGTCGGAGCACCCGGAGGGCCGGGGCGCCGCGCCCGTCGGCGGCGCAGGGGGAGGTCGGTGCGGCCGCAATGGTTTGGGGAAGGGCAGGTCGGCCACGCAAAGCGGGCGGGTGGGTTTCGAGGTTCGAGGTTCGAGGTTTCGAGGTCTGCGGGCGTTTTCGCTGGTTCTCGGCGGCTGTCCAGCCTCGGGATGCTCTCCAGCGGCTGCGCCTCGCCGAGAGCGTTGGGTGCCTGGATCGTCCCGAACGGCCGCCTGAGGCCCGAGTTACGGCCCGAAAACCGACGCCACGCGCAGATGGGCGTGGGGGGGAGGGGGAAGAGTCGGTCGGCCACGCGCAGAAGGGGGTAACTTAACCCCTAAACCCCGGATAATAAAGCACCCCCCACCCTCCCTTTCAGTAAATATGCTCCTCTTCGCCTCATATTAAATTAGAACGTAACTTAGTTTGCAGGCATTGCACTGTCCGCTGGAACTAACAGCTGCGTTCCGCAGCTGTATGGATGCTCGAACAAGCCAGCCTTGGCTTGCAGGAGAGAAAAGGAGCGTGCCAGCCCTCGGCCGTCGCGCGTCGTCGGTCGTAGGCCAGCCGGCCTCCTCCCTTCACATTCCTGATTGAGTAATCTTGCTTAACGGATACTTGTCTTATCAATGTCTCATCCCGTCCCCTCTCTCCCTGAGCAGAGTGAACATGAGATCTGAATTCCTTTTGTCATCTTACCCCGATGCTCAGAGGAAAGACTTGTTATCAGCCGAAACGCGCGACTTAGTCGACGCGGGGCCATCATATCCAAAAGAAGAACTTTCAAATGTGCCCCGCGACTCAGTCCCTGCGGGAATGAGCTATGATAAGACTGACATCGTGTCCAATATCTCGAGAAGCGCCGACGGGCGCGTTGTACAACATGATGGACGCGACACAAATAAGGGCGGTCTAATTCAGGACCGCGTCCCTCCTTCATATATCGCCACTCGGGTAACTAGGGGCAGAATTGCCGAGGGAGTGTCAGAGATGTCGATGGACGTCTCTCCCGCTGGAGCTCCGATAGGTAATCGTGAGCAGACCCCAGACCCGTACGGGCGAGATGGCGTGACAGCGAGAACTAGACGAAGCGCGTTTTCGTCATGGAGTGCCAACTCGACGGAGTCAATCAGCCCAATTCCGAACGCTACACATGCTATCGCTGCAGCCGCTGGTGAAGCCGGCCAGCCGGGGGAAGTCCAAGAGAACGTGAATACGTACCCTAGCATCCCAACTGAATGGGCGGGTGCGAGTGCGAACGTTCCCGCCCCACTAGCACTTAACGGACAATTTGGTCAGAACAGTGATGACCCCATTGAAAAAGATCACGAAATAAATTCCATGCAGGAAGATTCTGATAACATCAATAACGCAATTTCCCTGGGCCGAGCGTTGTCCGTGATGATGGGAGAATACATCCCTGCTCAAGACGACAGATGGTCTCCAGATGGATCCGATGAAGACACTAGTATCCTGACGCCTCAGGCGGACAGGACGGAGGCTCAGACGAAGCATGAGAAGGAGTCCACAGGACGAACCCCTGCACCCCATCTCAAGAAACAAAGGAACGAGGACTACGAACTAAACGTCTCGCCGCTGAAAGAAGGTTTCTTCCGTAATGCCGCCGCCTCAGGTGACCGGCAACCCTCGATTCCAGCTGTTGTTGAGGATGAAGAAATGGCTGGACAACCAGCTACGCAAGCTCAGTTAATAGCACAAGACGAGACGGATGAGGAGCTTTTAAATGCGCCTAAACCACCAGAGAATACTTTCGTTCGCCCCAGATCAAATGCTTCAAGCAGGGGAAGACCCAAGATGCCAAGATCAGGGGCGAGATCTACTTCAAGGAGCAACAGTGCCGTCTCCATGGCGGAGGCTTGTTGGGACCCCAACCCTAACTGCGCGCCTCGGGCGGAGAGCAGATGCCCAGGAAAAGCCAACAGGCCAGCAGACGCATGTAGGAATCCAGTGTGCAAGAGTTGCTCGGACGTATGCCGTGAGTGTAACATGCAGTGGCTGCGTGCAGAATGTTACTCAATGGGCGAGCATAACTGCGCATATCTCCTCATGCAATCTATTCAGGACCAGGCCAGGCTAGCGGAGGCTAACACTCAGAGAGAGTTTCTGACCAATGAAGCGCAGCTGGCTGAAAGGGCCCGACTGGGCAGAGAAGAGTTAAATGAGGCCATGGCTGAAGTTCGGAAAACATTCGAGGCTGAACGGATCGCCCTAGCCATGGCTGCAAGAGAGCGGGAACAAGCGCTGATAGAACAATTGTACAATCAGACCGCGGCCGTTAAGCGGCAGGTGGTCATGGGGGCCGAACAGAAATACAGAGAATTATTTGTTTCTGAGAGACAGGCCGTCGTGATGGCAACCAATAATCTGTCGACGCCAACGCGGTCGCCGCTGCTGTTGCGGTGGCCAGGATAGAAGGGGAACAGATCGCGCACTTTTGCAATTCCAGGCCCTGCCCTAGAAGGTCCGGCTAAGCCGAGCACCATCGAGAGTGGACTTCCTGTTGGGATCAAGCTAACTGGGCCTAGCGAAGGTAACACTTTCGCCAGTTGCCGCCCATCCTATAGATATGGTCCTGCGGGAATGACGGCGACTGAGTCGTCGGGCGAGGCAGGGCAGGGCGGGGAAGGGGGCGACGAGAGCGACGCTCCTAACACCGAAATCGTATCTTCACATGAAGATGATCATACTAAAAGACAACGTGGGTCGCCTCCGGGAAGCCCAGGGGGTTCAGGTCCATCTGTCGGTGGAGGCGGCCGCAGGGGGCCTCAGGGCCCTGGCGGACCGCATGGCCCAGTAGTAATTGACGAAAGCACGCCGTTGGATTAATGGAGACAGGTTGGTAACGACCAGAAAATTGATTTATTGGACATCCCTGATGTAACGAACATTCGGGAGTGGCAAATGCACGCAGTACGTGCGATCGCTGGATCATCGCCCGAGAGCCAGGCTGCACAGCACTGGATTACTGAGGCTATGAACCCAGCTGTGGAGGATGAGCAGCTGAAAGATGCAGGGCGATTCCAGCGTCTCGATCTCATGATTGCAACGAACCTCATCGATAAATTCAACAAGATGCGAAAGAATCGCCATCAGCCTGGTCATCATACTCATTTCCTCCAACAGATCACTCGTGTGGAATACAGCGCCCAGAACGAGGGAAGACTCATGACTGGGCGCGAGATGGTGCGAGCCATTTGCCATTGGTGTTCGGTGAGATCGGAGTTGGGGCAACATCGCATTCCGCGTGACATCTTCAAGGTAATCATTGACCCACGCAAGCCGGATGCTGACCTGTATCATTTCTACAATGAATGGACATATGTTTATCAACGGCTTTATGGCGCTAAGCCTCCGTCCGATGCAATGAGGGCCTCGATTCATGCGCACTTTCTTGAACAATGCAGAAAGCCGAGCAAACTGAACTTTGTATGCCAGTTATACGACATGTCAAAGGATAAAAGGTGACATGGCGTGAAGAGTTATGAATGGCTGATGGGGCAAATTGAAGAAAAGATGTTGCGAGAAAAAGAAGAGTGGAACATCAGCGTGCATGAGGGCACCTTGAATCAGCGTGCTAGGCAAGCGCGATTCGGCGGAGGCGGAGGCAGTGACAACCGGAAGATTGCCGGCGGCAAAGCCGCTCCGGCAGAGATTGCTGCTAAATTGGGGAAACCCACAGACGTCATGACAAGTGGAATGACTAAGGGCGTGACCACGTGCAGATATGTGCGCAAGGGCGAGACTTGCCCGTGCGCAGGGAAAGGCTGCCCCTTCAATCATAAGAAACCCAAGAATGCCGCGCCGGCTCAGCCGAGTGCGGGGGGAAAATCCAGTGCCGCTCCTGCCCAGGATAAGAACCCTAGAGGGAGATCGAAGGACCGGGGCCGCAATGGGGCAGGGCCGATCCCAGACTCCGACATGTAACCGTGGGAAAGGAGGACAGCATAATCATAGAAGCCAATCACGTGGGAAAGAGAGTGAATACCGTGTTGCGCATTCTCCCGAGATCCCAAGAATTGTCGAGGACCAGAAGACGGATGCAACAAAGCCCGCGGAGGGCTATCCGATGCTGAGAAGCTGAAGCGTGACAAGTGGGAACAAGCGAAACTTGGCGCGGGGCAATCTTTGGGGTGTGAGCGTGCAGCCAAGCAAGCCAATGCCGCCGCCGCCAATATCTCTTCGACGGGAAGCAACAGTGGCTCCAGAGCCTCTAGTGCGAACTCCGACAAACGTAAAAAGGATGGAGACAAAAACAAAGGCAGTGGTAAAGGCAAAGACGTGGTCTGCCGCTCCTATAAGGAGACGGGAAAATGCTCGCGCGGTAAGGAATGCTGGTTCGCCAAGACCACCCCAGGTCACCCAGTCACGGGGCGATGGCTCCGCGCTGGCGGCTCAGCCGTCAGTGCTGGAGAGATGATAAACATAATTTTATTACTGGTCTTCTTTCTAGCCTTCCTTGCTCGGCAGATGTGGCGAAGCCTGCGTCAGTTGAACAGAAAGCGGGGGGGTGGTGGGGTGGGAAGAGACCCGCTGATTCAATCAGCTTGGGTGCCATCGCGTGCCCCGCCCCGTTATTTCGGGCCTCCCAGGGCAGAAACAAACCAGCCCTAAGTTTTTGACTATTGCAACTGATGCCGATGGAGGAGACTACTGGGATACCCCCAAAGGTGAGTTTCACCAGGATAGCAGGAAACAGCTCGAGAGTCTCGTCAATGTCCTTGCGAATTTCCTGTGCCCTCTTTCTCGGGGCGCGATCGAGAAGTACTGGTGCGTCCCCCCTAGTAAGAGTTGCATCCGACATCGGAACAGTAACAGATGCAATCTCCGTGTCCGTTTTCACCCCTCTACTGAGGAGCCGACTATCACTGGGAGGAAGGCGCGTCGCCACGACTTGAAAGAGTTGCCTTCAAGTAGCGCAGATAGGTGGAAGTTCCCAGGAGAAATGCGCAGACAGATGTCGATGCAGTCAAGGGCATCCGTCGCTGAAGCTCTAATCAGAGCATCAGACCTGCAAGACCATGTCTGGCATCTCTGGTTGAAGGGCGAG